GATCCTGGTGGGACACCACTGGCTATAGGCCTCCAACCAGACTTTGTACCACAGAGCACAGCCCTCTGAGCTCTGCTATTCAGCCAGTTCTCAGTCCATCTCTCTCTCTCTCTGTATTTCATGTTTGTGGTCCTTTATGGAAATTTATTTGAAACAAATAACTTCAATAATACTATTGGTGTAGGGCTGAACTTTGACTACAAAAATATGGGAACCACAAGCATTCCTTGTCATAGAATCATAGAATGCTTAAGGTTGTCAGCCTACAATATTTCTCAAAATACATGAAGTCTTCTTCAGTACTTTCTTAAATATTAGATTCAACACTGAAAATGCTTTTTAGCTGTGCATATTTAATGATGCCTCCTGAACTGCAAGCTATCATCTTAACTCAAGTCTGTAGTCATTGATATGCAGACAGACTATATGAAAAGCAAAGGACAATGTACAAAAATGTAAGATCTATTAATAAGGATCTACTCTTTTAAGATTATTTAAGTTGTGCTTATAACATTCTTATGTAAGTACAGCTAAGTTTTTTTTTTTTGATTAACAATTTGGTTGTTGATTCTCCATGCGGCACACCTACCTACTTATTTTTCCACAAAGATCAAAAATGGAAAATTTGAAATGAATATTCTTCCATGAAAAATACTTGTAGAAGTCCTAATGATTTGAATAAGGGTAAATAACTCTGAGAGGAAGGCGAAATTGCAATTTTCCTATACTTATAAGGAGGAATTCTCATTTCATTCCTTTTTTATGATATCCATTGCTTAAACAGTTAAGAATTATGGCTTCTCTTTTTCATTTTTCTCCCAAAATCCTTTTGGTTCCTTTTTTTTTTCTCCAGGTTGTACTTTTTTTTTAAAAAAAAAAAAACAAACAAATAGTGGTCCTACAATAGGAATAGATGAGAGATCTGTTGTTCCAAAACTAGGTAATAGTAGTAAAGCCTATGAGTGTCAATACTTCTCAACCATAATTTTTAGGCTAATTTTATAGTCCATATGCTGTTCTGCTACACAGATCTTAAACAGAATATTGTTCTTCTCCAATGCTTTGTTTTCTCAAGTCCTTACTGATTTTATTCTTATTTGATGAATTTAAAATTATTTAAAACTCAGTAACTCACAGCTGTAGATTCAATAATAAAAAAAGATAAGAACATTAATGTTCAGTTCAGAATGCCATCATCCCTCACTTGTAAGATCAGAATTCAATAGTCAAAAACGAGGTAAGGATAAATGACAAACTTCCTGTGCAACTGTTACACAAATGCATTTTAGGGTAAAATACTAATACTGCATGAAAAAAGAAGAGTAAGAATTCCCGGAAAAAAACAGATATTTTCTCTCTTAAATCACCTGTATTTTGTCTGTTTTATTTTTAACTAAACACATCAACAATCCCACTTGTACGGTGTATTGTACAATAAAACAAATTATTATATACCACCAGGGAAATAGGAATTTCTTGTGGTATATATTACTGCTGTTATTGAGCACTGTACAAATTATGAATGAATATATTTTATTTGGAAACATGTTATTGACAGAAATCTATCAATAGTAATGTGAGTATTGTCAACAGTCTGTCAATATTAATGTAATTATGATTAAGAGGATAACATGGATTTTAGCTATAACACCAAGTAACATCTCCTGCATTGCTGCTATCAATATAAGCATTATTATTGAACTGTTCTGAGACTATCAGTACGAGATGTATTACCATCAGGCATATTTGTCAATGCATTCTGCCTACAAAAATTCTACATTTAAATTTACAAGTTTGTAAACTTTGCCTGCAGAAATGCACGAATGCAAGTAATCTCTAGGGTGCCATTTTTCCTCAGGGCTATTCCACTGTGGATCAGTAATCAAGGGTTTTCTACTGTCTCAGTGCTAGCACAATCTTATTCTCTGCTTTTCCAGAGTAATCATTAGAAGACAGACACATACTGTATGCTGAGGCTTCCAAATATTTTGAGTATGTTTTGTTAAAACACTTTTTTAGAAGCCAAATAAAAATATACTTCTTTAAGTCAGAAATAAATACTGTTCCTTACTGCACTGACTTTAAACTGCACTTGGATGCATGAAGTAGGACCTCATTTACTTTAAGGAGTTCACAATTTAACTATTTTAGATAATCCCTTCTGGGCAGCCAAAACACACCTAGTTTAAGCCCTGTACCCATACAGGGCTGGAATGGATCACAAGAGACCATCTAATCCTAACTCAGCATAAAGACAGGCTCAAGACTATCTAGTTAAATGTTTTACTACCAAGGCAGCTGATTTCATACTTCCTCTAGACAGTCTGTTCCAGCATTTTATCACCCTAATAATTACAAAGAATCTTTTTCTAATATTCAACCTAAATCATATTTATTACAAATAAAGATGGTTTTAATCCCACGGGAGAAAGGAATAATAATAAATAAATAAATTAAAAAAAAAAAGAGAAGAATTTCCCCTTTGTCTGCATCTGTTCGTGAGGAAAAAGCAACGAGGAGTGTGAAGGCACCGAGCCATACATAGAAGACTTGCCAAACTACAGAACCTCCTATTGCCTCTACATGCCTGATACTATTTTTGAGAATCAAAAGGTTATTATTTAACTTGAAACTTTTATATCTTCAGATCTTTTTTCTGTCACTTTATTTTTTGACTATTTAGTTCCCATTTTGTATTCATATATTTGACTTTTTCCCTCTTAAATGCAGTGCTTCACGCTTGCCTGTACTGAATTTCATC